GATGTGTTTCTCTTACATTGATGTTTCTCTCTTTCTTCCTCCCTCTCTCCCTCCTGCTCTATCTGAAGATAAATGCAAAAATGTCCTCGGGCGAGGATTAAAAAAAATTATATATATATATTTGCTGAGTGAATGCAAGTGACTTATCTCCCTAACCTGCATTTTTCCAGGTTATATGATTATATTATTGTCTGTGTGCAGAGCTATTTAAGAAACAAACAGAATCAAGGGTTTATGTAAAGAGACATAACTACATACTAAGTCCTAAAATTAAAAATATATACGTGTGCAAAATATGCCCTTTGTATACTATACCCCTTCTTAAAAGGATGCCTTCAAATGCCAACCTTATAATCTGGGAGTGAGGTTTATTACCAAATAAATTTCAGGTGCATGGGGATTGTATTGAGGCTTCCCAACAGGATCTGTTGTTGGGAGATAATTTACGGGAAAGGAAATGACACCGTTTTCCTGTAGAGAGTGAATGGGAGTTGGAGAGCGTGACCTCATTGCTCAAGGTGCGCAGAGCAGATATTCAAGAAAGGCTGCTTTGGGCCGAGTCCCGCCCTTGACGCCCGGTGCTAGCCAAGACATCAGGGTCACTCGGCTGCAAACCTCAGAAAGTGTCCTAGCAAGCTGTCTTGGCTGGATTGGTTCGTTGAGCATAGACCCTAGAATTCTGCAGTTTGAAGGCAGAACAAAAACCCTTGAAGGGAAAATACCTTGAAGTCAGTGGCGATGACCACGAGATTCAAACAGTGACAGAGCTAAGAAAGGATGTTGAAAACAAACATAAATAGCAGGGTATAATTCTGTGGTGGGGGGGGGGGCGGTAAGCCCATACAACAAAAAGGCTCAAAAAATAATTTGGTAGGTAGATGAAATTACTAAGAATAGAAAAAGAAAGAAGAAAAATCACAAACAAAATTTCTTTACACCTGTAAGAGAAAATCAAAAGAGATGCTATAAATAGTTGCCTCTATTTTTTAAATGCTTTCGGATAACTCCTGGTAGAATTTTCAATGGGGTGTTTATTCAGAAATCAAAGTAAAAGATGACATTAAATGGCGTCAAATACCTCAAAAAGTATGGGAATAAAATGTGAATGCGGATGATAGAAGACAGTCTTATGGTAACAACTATAACAAGGTAGGCAAAATACACTTCCCTATTTTAAGCAAATGATCTCAAATTAAATTAAAAACAAATTTCAATAATCTGCTGTTTTTAGAGAGATGTGTTCAATCAATGTTTTTGTCTACCGTGCCTGACACTGAGTGGACACAGTGATGAAGAATTCCGGCTGTCACAGAGCTTACAGTCTGGGGGAAGATGAAACAAGGCAGTCAAAAATAAGATCAAGTATAGCTCACACAGCTTTAAGCCATGGGGAACAAACAGTGGCAACACTGACTCTATAAAGTAGAATTTAAGGAATATGTTTCAATGAGATGCAGATGGCATTAAACAGTTACAAGACTTATAACAAATGTGTGCATAAACCCTATGCACTAACCAACAAAGAAGCATAATACAAAAAGCGGAAATTCAGGCATACAAAGGAAAAACTGGACAGGAAAGCAGTTAGATTAGGAAGTGTTAACCTCTTCATTATCTTCCTGTGTCAGACCAAGTAGTCAAAAAAAAAAAAAAAAAGACATAAACAATACAACTAAAAAGTAAGAATGAATAGCTACAGCCCTGGCTGGTTTGGCTCAGCAGTTAGAGCATCGGCCTGCGGACCAATGAGTCTCGGGTTCAATTCCGGTCAAGGGCACGTACTTGGTTGCGGTTTGTCCCGGCCCTGGTTGGGTGGTGGGGGAGGCAACCAGTTGATGTGGCTCTATCACGGCGATGTTTCTCTCTGTCTCTCTCTCTCCCTCCCTCCCGCTCTATCTGATAAGTAGAAAAATATCCTCGGGTAAGGAATTTAAAAAAAAAAAAAAAAAAAAGAATAGCTACAGAACTAATTTACAAAAGAGTACAGCTTACCAATACCCTTATGAAGAATATACCAACTTTTCTCATGCCATTGAATACTTACAAAATATTGCACACAAACCACCCACAAAAATCTCAATAAATTAAGAAAATTTAGTAGACATGTGCAGGCTACATTTTTTTTTTATCACAGTGCAACAAAAATAAAAATTAAATAAACTGAAGCCTAAGAGTACCCATTCAGCTGCTTCCAGTCACGGAGCTTATCTCTTTAACTGTTATATCTGTGGTCTACTCTTTTTTTTTTCCCCCATCCCAACTACCCAGAATTTTCCTCCTGAATATCCTGGGCATTCTCAAACCTGATCCACAAATTCCAGCCGTGGCATCTTTGAGTTGGAGCAGAGGCCACAATGATGGGACCCAAGAGGCCGAGCTTTCAAGAGAAAGGCATTTGACCAACACATTACTCCCTGGATGTGTTGTACCACCTGCAGAAATGACACCTGAATAACACCCTTGGGGAAGCAGGAGGTTCTATGCCAACAAGGCATTTTTCTTCCCTTGATCCAACACTATCTTAAAATAACAGAATTCAGTTGGAAAGAACCTGAGAACTAACTAAGCCAGGTTCCCATGTATTCTTTTTTTTCCCTTTTTGTTGTTCAGATAGAGCGGGAGGGAGAGAGAGAGGGAGAAACATGGATGCAAAAGGGACACGTTGAGTGGCTGCCACCCACACGACCAACCAGGGCTGGGGACAAACTGCAACTGAGGCACATGCCCTCAGCAGGAACCGAACCCAGTCTCTCTGGAATTCAGGCCGATGCTCCAACGGCTGAGCCAAACCGGCCAGGGCCCCATGTATTCTTTCATATTAATAATGGAATTTCCCAAGGACCCACTAATGTCAGGTACTACTAGCTACTCTCCCTATGCAAACATGAGCTCAGATCCGTACACACAGGCCTGTGAGGTCAGTTACAGACATCTCCCCTTTGCTCCTGCACACCCACTCCCCACTCTCTTCCCTTCTTCTTTGGGTTCTTGTCTAGGAGGCTGTATCCATGGCTTCCTTTCAGAGCCTCTTCCCTCTACTAAGTTCTCAGCTCCACCCTGATACGTCCTCCAAGTAACAGCTTTCTCTCCTTCCCTTCCCGGCCTTGGCTGGTAGCATGTTTTCACTATTGCTAATCTTGGGAAATTGCATAATCCCTCTGGTTTCTTCACACCCTGTCCACACCTTTGTAAATAGTCTGTTTATCAAACCCCAAATCACTCAGTGTGAGGGTATCGTCTGTTTTCTCCTGGGATTGGGACCAGGTAGGTAGGGTCATCCCCGTTTTGTGGATGAGTAAACTGGATGGATGCTTAAGGTCACATCTGAAAGGGACAGGCCTGAGATTCAAATCCGGACTGATTCACAACAGAGTTATGCTTTTTCCATTATTCTTGGGCCTTTGTTGGAATTGGTGGAGTTGGACAGCACAATTCCGGTAGGCTCTTTTGTTTCTGTAAAGGGGGAGGAGGCCGGATAAACAAGAAGGGCCACCAGAACATCCCATCAGTTTGAACAGGGCTGAGGTGGCCACTCCTTGCAGTTGAGGTAAGTGGCAAATATTTGCTCAAAAGAGGCAGCACAATTTAATGGACAAATACACATGCCATGCCCTATAGTCCATAAGCAACCCCACTCTATAGATGAGAAAACTGAGGCACAGAGGAGTGGCACAGCCTTCCCCAAGGGGTGGGTCTTGTTATGGATTCTAGTCCCATAGGAAGCCAAAGCCCTTACACGTTTCAATTCATCCCCTTGGAGGCTGGGCACTGTCTACACTACACATTCACTCACATTACTTTGGGAGGCATTTGAACTCAACAAATTACTCTGGTGGTGATGATGCCACCCACATACCCTGTGCCAAGTCCTGCCCTTGACCTGAACCCTTCCTATGCGACACTGTCCATTAAATCCTCTCCATTTTACTATGAAGGAGGCACTGTCATGCTGATCATTTTATAGATCAATGAATTAAGGCTCTGAAAATTCAAGAAACCTGCCTGAGATCCCCCAATTGGCAAGTGCAGAAACCCATTCTGCAGATGAAAATAAAAGGCCCCAGAGACCACACAGAGCACAAAGTCTGGAGGTGGGGGGCCCTCAAGATCCCCTCCCACTCAGGTTTCACTCCCAAGGTCTTCACTAGACGGGAGGTCTTGGCCTTCTTCCATTACGAGTGGGAAGCTGCTGCTCAGGGAGGCCACGTGGCTCATCCACGGCCACAGCAGTGGTAGGAGTGTGACTCAGCTCCTGTCCACCTGCTCCCAGCACCTCGGGGTTGACCACTCAGCTCCCCAGGAGAATCACCTAGTACCTAAGTGTTTGTTCAAGTCCATCTTTCCCGCCAGCTCCAGACCCAAGGACTCAGGGCAGGAAGGGGGTCTGGAAATCCACATCTTATTTTATTGTTCTCTATTGATTTTTAGAGAGAGACAAAGGGAGAGGGAGAGATAGAAACATTAAGATTGGCTGCCTCCTGCATGCCCCCCACTGGGGATCGGGCCCACAACCTGGGCATGTGCCCTGACTGAAAATCCAACCTGCGACCTCTTGGTGTATGGGTGGATGCTCAACCACCAAGCCACACTGGCCAGGCTGGGAATTCATACTTTAAACAAAAGTTTGCTTGCCCTCTTCCTCTCCACCCCCTGTTCCAGGTGACTGTCATGATCTGGAAAGTTTGGGGCTCAGCCCAAGTTCTGGGGCGCACCTGCAGCTCCTGGGAACTCCTTGGGTCATTGCCCCCTAGAAAGTCCCTGGAGAGCTCGCGGGGCGGGGTGGGGCCAGGTGCGCCGAGAGCGGCCGGGTGCACAGCCCCGCCCCGGGGGCTGGGCCTCACCTGTGGCGGGCAGGTAGGCGGCGCCCTGGAAACCTGGCCCTGGTCCAGGAGGCTTGGGCGCGCACAACCAGCCCCAGCCTCGCCAGGGATCGGGACGCGCACGCAGGGGCGGCTGCCGGAGGGACAGGAGGCTGGGCGAGGGGCCTCCGCCTGCTCACCATGGTCGAGACACGCTTCTCCAAGTTCCTGCAGAAACTCGGCTTCTCGGGCGCGGACCATCAGTACGAGCCGCTGGAGACTGGCGAGTTGGAAACCTTGGTAAGTCTGGACGACCGGGCTGGGGGGGAGGAGGGGACTCGGACCTGACTGCCCACCCTACGCCAACACCCCAAGACCCTGTCCGCTTGCTGCGTGCGCGCTCCTCCAACCCGCCCTGCACCCCCTGGTTCTAGAGAGAAACCATCTACATAGCAACGCCAGCTCGCGTTTCTGCTCGGGCCTGGCGCTCTCGCCAATGAGCCTCCTCCTCCAGCCCATTTTGCGGATGCGAAACTCAGGGCGAGGCACGTTAAATAAGGCCCTCAAAGAGCATACAGCTAGCAAACGAACGTAACCTAGCTTTCTTCGACTCCGGAAAATTGAAATCGGCGGGTCTCCACACCTAGGTTGCTATATGGAGTTTTTAAAAAAACTACTTGAATTGGGGCAGTGATGCTGGAAAGAACAACAGCAACAGAAAATTGTTGCGCACACGTTTTAGCAATCATAGAAATAATGGTGAAAATCAAGGTAACAGTAGCCAGGCCTCCCAGCTTCTCTTCCCGTGTCTCCAGCGCCCTTTTAACAAACCATTGAGATTTGTATGTTGACATTTTTAAACTCCAGGTGACCCTCTAGGATAAACCAACAAGATTCTCAGGGAGGGCAGTTTTTACCAGCTGACAAACTGTGTCAAAGTTGTCCCTAAAAAAGCCCTTTCACTTGGAGAAGCCAGAGATGACTGGTGACTGGTGACCCTACAACTTTCTCCTTAACTTGTCAGCAGAACTCACAGCATAATGCAAGGGCAGAGGGCGCTGAATTTCTGCAAAAGCATCTCTGGCACATTGTAATGTCTTTCTTTTAAGCTTAATCAGTCATTGAAAAATAAAATTCTGAAATAGTCCTCTGGAGGTGCTCATGAGACTACAACCTTGCCTTTTCTGGTGAAGGGAAACCTCAAAGTTAAACTTACTTTTTAATGTTTAATGATCAGCTGGAAAAACTTGATTTAAAATATTTACTTTTCCTCCCAAAGAATGACAGTAGCCAAGACATTTTGGTTGTAGGACTCTTAAATATGTGTGCATTAAAAAAATTTTTTTTTCTTTACTGATTTGAGAGAGAGAGAGGGAGAGAGAAATGCATTGATGAGAGAGAACATTGATTGGCTGCCTCCTGCACGTCCCCCACTGGTAATCAAGCCTGCAACTCAGGCATGTGCCCTTACTGGGAATCAAACTGGTGACCTCTTGGTGTATGGGTCACATTCAACCGCTGAGCCACACTGGCTGGGCTAAAAATAGCATTTTATAAATGGATATTAGCATGTGAATTCTGGCACTAGGGTGGTAGACCACAGAGCTGTGTAACTGGCAGTTCTCAAATCTCTACTTTTCTGAAACATGGTGTGTATTAAACATGGATTGGGTCTAGAGTTCTCTTATTTTGCCAAAATCCGTTTCTCTATTTATACGTCATGCAATGCATTTTGTTAAAAGAGTTTGCCAACGTGATTGCCTTTTCTGTGTTCTTTTTCTATTTTTTTTCTTTCCCTCTTTTGATTATTTTCATTAAGCTTGGTATTTTTCAAACACTCCTGATGTGTGTTTGGTTACACATCTCAGATTTTATGAGATGTCCGGGTATCATCCAGGTGTGCCAGGTATGGGGATGAAATAACATGAACAGCGATTCTGGGGTGAATTTGATCTCTGCCCCAAAGTGGACTTCATTCCCCCAGAGCTTTTAAAAAGGGCCTCAAGGGTGGGAAAGTCTTCCCCCGTCTGTAGGCTGTGGCCCTGTGTTCTCAGCTGCACCTGAAGAGGGTGTGTGATGACACGGCAGTGTAGCGTGACGGGCATGCTGCTGCACCAGGCAGCCAGCAGTGAAGGCAGGCGGAGAAACAAAGTGTCCTGTCTCTAAAGGTGACCTTGTGCAAACCCAGGAAATTATAATAAAGGTAATGAGGAGCGTGGTGAGGAAGGGAGGCCAATCTGGCGAGGTAACCTGTCTACTGCCCGCTCAGCTCATCACCCCAATACCTCTTTTGCTCTCACACTTACACCATCCAATTTGAACTCTTTTGCTCTCAAGAAAATTGGGAAAAGAAGCAAAGTCTGCTACAGTGATTGTCTTCACCACAGTCCTAACTCTTGTATGAGCACACGTTGTGTGCAGCGTCCTGGGCAGTCTCTGGATCTCCTGAGCACTTTGCCAAGTCACCCAGTTATAATAGTAGTTATGATTGAAAACTTGCTGTGTCTCCTCCTGAGTCTGTTTGGTTCGAGAGAAGTTTTATTGTAACCATGAAAGAAAGGTGAGGATGTCAAGGATCACAGTGGGGCCAGGCGCTAATGATACAGCTGTGTACAAAACAAAGTTCATGGGGGAGGCTGACCGCCAACAGAGAGACCAAGAGATGTTTAAGATCCAGAGATAGGGATGGAGAATAAAGAGCAGAGTGACTGGGTGGTTGAGACGGGGACGAGGGTGGACCCAGAGTTAGAGGCGGGAACTAAACACAGTTCTCCTGGCTCTGAAGACATCTCATTTTGGCTGCATTTCCATTGTAATGAAAAGAAAGGTGTAGGAGAAACCCCCTTAATTACTGGGGGGGGGGGGGGGAGCTTCTCTCTGCTGGCCTGATTGTTGGGTAAGGAGAACGTTGGACCAGAAATTCCTGCTTCCAGGATGACTCTATGAAAATTATCTTGGACCCTCAGGGCTCCCATCTCTTAACCGAGACTGCTATGGCTCCATCCTGCAGTACCTTCCTCCATTGGTGCTGAGTCATCTTCCTGGGGCTCCGCAGGGTGAAGACTTTGCACACTCACTCTTGTGGTTGTTTGCAGGTCTCCAACCCCGGGTAGGGCTGCCTCAAGGGTGTTTCCCCAAAGATGAATGGCCTAGCCTGTTCTCAGGGGGAGGAATTACTAGGGCGTGAATACGGGGAGGCAAGAATGATTGGGGGCTGTCTTAGAGGCTGCCTTCCACAGTGGTAGGAAGAAATAGTTTATTAATGAGATCATTCACATGGAAACCAGAAACACACGTGGCGCAAAGCCTGCTCCAAAGTGATCTATTTTTGTTAGTGTTTTTATTAGTCTTGCGTTCTAGTCTTTATTTAGACTCTTTTTGATTTGATTTTGATAATGCCCATGCTGAGAATGTCTAATTACATGTCCATGGACAAAATGCCATTGAAGCGGCTTAAGAATCTGTTTGCTGGTTTTGTTTAGGACAAGCAGCCTGTGAAAGCCAGTCTGAAAGGCTATCAGTGGATTACTGTAGAACTGGCTGGTTCACTTGAGGAGGTGAGGGTCAGGCATTGTGGAAAGAATATTTCTTCACTTGGTCTTGATTACCATACTCATCGACTGTGGCAAACAGCTATGTACAAAAACTGGATTCACAGTAAAGTCCCGCTAGCGATATGGTAACACTTCTCAGTGGTTCTACATTTTAGAGTTGACTCACTGATGCCTCATCCATTTTTTTTTCTCTCTGAGCCACTGAGAAACTCTCATCCCTTCAGTGTGTTATGTGATTGTTTTCACCAAAGCAATTGTGACCGTCTCTCCCCCAAATACCAGCATACTGACATTTAAGTGACAGTTTCGCCTTCATTGAATTATATTCATAAGTTTTTAGAATCTGCTATCTTTTATGAACCAGGAACTATACATATTTTTTCTTCCCTTTTCCCACCTCTCTAAACTTGTAATAATTGTTGTCACAAACCACAAGAAAAATGTGCACAATATGAAATTCTCCTTCACACCCCCCCCCCCCCTTTTCTCCCATTTTCCTCCTTGGTGTGTGTGCGTGCTGAGGAGGGGAGGTACTGTTTGCATCTAATCAGTTTGCAGTAATCAGATTCCTGCTTGCTTGGGCGGTCCTGGCCCGTTTTGTGCAGTTCTAGAAAAGCTGTGGTTCAGAGCACTGTGATCCAGGCTCCCTAGATGCACATTCTGGTTCTGCCACTTGCCAGCAGAGACCTTGAGCATGTTCCTCAATTTGCCATGCCTCTGTTTTTCCTTCTGTATAATGAGGTCATAACTGTCCACACAGCAGAGATGTGTTGTGGAGTGCAATGATCATGCAAAGCATTTAGGGCAACACCTGACCACAGTAATTATTTTTCACATCCAACTCTGTAAGTTTTAAAAACATATATAGGATCATTCTGTACAACTGCACCCTCCCCATTCCTGCAGTGTATACAGTTCAGGAGCAGTGTTCTTGCTGTGTAGGCATTTTTACTTAAGCCACCCCCTGTTGACGGGCATTTAGATGGTTTCCTGTTTTAATGGTCAGAGCAATGTTCCGGGGGACATCTGTGGAGGCACCATGATCTTTTGAATCCTTACAAATATCCCTGCAGAAATCTGAGGCTTAGAGAGAGAAGTAACTTGTCCAAGGTCGCACCGCTCCCCCAGGAATTCGAATCCAGGGCTGCCTGAATTCTATGTTGGAGTTTTCTCTACTTCTACTGGCCAGGTTTCTCTTCTATAAAGTTGCTGTTTTCCCCATCGTAATGAATACGTACTTTATGGAGAGGCCTGCTGAGGCTACGTCAATAGCCTACTTCTCAGACCAGTTTTACTCTTTAGTTTTAGCATCCGTTGATGATCCTTGCCCGAGTCGATTATTTTTACAATGTCTATGAAAAGGTGGTTTTCTGCCCTGGCCGGTTTGGCTCAGTGGTTAGAGCATCGGCCTGCGGTCCAGAGAGACCCGGGTTCGGTTCCCACTAAGGGCATGTACTTCGGTTGCAGTTTGTCCCCGGCCCTGGTTGGTCGTGCGGTGGCGGCCACTCGATGTGTCCCTTCACGTCGATGTTTCTCTCTCTCTGTCTCTTCCTCTCTCTCCCTCCCACTCTATCTGTACAAAAAATGGAGGAATGTCCTCGGGTGAGGATAAAAAAAAAAAAAAGGTGGTTTTCTAATTCTGTCATTCCTCCCTCCTTTATTACTTGGTGTCCTGGTGTAAGGAAGAGCTTCTCCTTTCTTCTATTTATTTGATCATTCATTCATTCATTCATTCATGTATATCAT